TGGCATTAAATCCTCGGAAGAACCCTTTTTAAAACAAAGACCCAGATGAAGCTTTCCAAAACAAGGGAAAGGAAGAGAGAGGAAGGAAGAGGGCTTTTGCCTTCGTCCCAGAGTGGTCAGTGGTCAGCCATTTTGACCAGGAAAGTAATTCAATATAAATATAAATAATTATATATATAATTATATATATATATAATTATTTTCCTGGTCAAAATGGCTGACCACTGACCACTCTGGCAAGGATATATATATATATATATAATTTTCCCCCTGGAGGCTCGGAAACTGCAAATTCTCTTTTCAGTGGCAGAGACTGGAAAGGCGGAATGAAAGCGACTTCTTTCTTGGACCTTTCCTTCCCTTGTCGATGCTGGCCTTTGAGGGTCTTCATGCCCCCCAAAATCATCCCTTTTGCACCCCAAAAAGTCTGTAGCCAGGAAAAGGAGTGGGGGGAGCCCTTCCAAAATAAAACCGAATTACCGGGCACGTGAAGACACTATTATTCTGCTTTTCCTCCCCTACAGAGAAGAAAAGAAGCAGCAGCTATTCTTTCGTCTGATGATGATGATGGCCATAAATTAAAAATGAAGGGAATGCCAAGCCCCTTGGAAAGGAAAGAGGGGCAAAGGCACATTAGCTGCTCAGAAAAAGGAACTTGGCTTTTTGCGCCCAAAGGAAGAAAAAATGAAGGGTTTTATAGCGAGTGTTGTTGTTGTTTTTATTAAAGTTTATTAGATTAAAATACAACATATAACACTGACAACATAAAACACACAGAAATCCCAATGCCAATAGTAACGACACAAGCTCTACAAAGAAATTCATAACTAACAAAATATTAGTTATACTTCCTGGATCCTTCGTCAAGTCATTTCCATATCTTACCAAAAAAATAAAAATTAAAAATAATAATAAAAATTAAATATGTAACGCTTTCAACTTTTTGTAAAAAGTGATTGTTTCTAATTTAATTGTGTGTTTGTGTTGTTGTTGTTGTTCTTGTTGTTGTTTTAAAAAACTTTGTATTTGTAATGCTTTGCATTGTTTCAATTTGGACTGTTTTCAATTTTGTTGGCCGCCCAAGACCGGGAGGAAGGAAGGACATATATTATTATTATTATTATTATTAATAATAATAATAATAATAATAATAATAATAATAATAATAATAATAATATAAAAATCTGCATTTCAAGGGGGTGAAAAGAAAAGAGAGACATTCCCATGTAAAGGCTGCCCCCCCAAAAATAATGAAATAGACATACATTTAAATTCGGTTTTGGAGGCTGAGCATCCTCGGCGGTGGGTCACACTCTCTCAGCCGGAGTTCAATGAAGGCTGGATCCCATGGGAAGCAATGGGCCCGATCCACCCAGAAAGTCTCCTCCTTTCGAAGGATTTCCAATTTTCCTTTTTACTTTTGAAACTGAATTTTATGCTTTTAAGTTGTAGTTTGTTTCGTACCGAAAAGAATTGAATCCCGTTCGAACTGACCATTTTGGTTTGCTTTTAATTGCCTTGGTGTTTTGTTTTCTTTCTAAATCTTGTAAGCCGCCCTGAGTCCCACTTTGGGAAATAAATATAACAATACAAATACAACACTAATTTCTTTTTTCCCTCTCTACGAAAGAGGCCCCGGTTCTTGTGTTGTTCTCTTTGGTTTCCTTTTTTTCCTTCCTTCCTTCCTTTCCTTCCACAAAAAAAGAGAGAAAGAAAGAGAGAGAGATGTTTGTCTTTGTGAGCCGCCTTGGGTCCCTTTTCTGGGAGAAAGAGGCATAAAAATGAAATGAAATAAGGTGGCCATACAACTCCCAAATCCTTGCAAAATCCCCCGAAGAAAGAAGAAAGGATGGAGGGAAAGAGAGGAGGAGGTGTGAGGGAGGAAGACTCCATCCGCACTGCAGAAATAACCCGGTTTGACACCGCTTTAACTGCCCTGGCTCAGTGCTATGGCATCCTGGGGTTTGCAATTGAGTGCCACAACAAACTACAACTCCCAGAATGCCATAGGATGGACCCATGGCCAGTTAAAGTGGTGTCAAACCGGGCTATTTCTGCAGTGCGGAGGCACCCAAAGAAATCCCACAAGTCGGGTTTTGGGAAGGGAGGGAAAGACGCAAGTTTATGTTTTCATATTAATAATATTTTTATTATTATTATTATTATTATTATTATTATTATTATTATTATTATTATTATTATTTAAAAATACCTTTTGCAATCAAGGTTTCTACTTCTGTCTTTCTGAAATTATTGGAGCCCGACTTGAACCCCATTGTGGGAGAAAGGCGGAATATAAAACCTTGAAAAGGGAAGAAAGGTCCCAAACGCACTGCAGAAATAACCCAGTTTGAGACCACTTTAACTGCCCTGGAGCAGGGCTAGGGAATCCTGGGATTTGTAGTTTGTTGTGGCACCAGAGCTCTCTGACAGAAGGCTCGAGGTCTCTCGAAACTACACATCCCAGGATTCCCTAGCCTTGATCCAGAGCAGTTAAAGCGGTCTCAAACTGGGTTATTATTGCAGTGTGTTTGGGACCAAGTGCCAGGGCGGGTGGGTTCGTTGCTTGGAGAGATTGCATAGCCATCTTTTATTTTATTTTATTTTCATTTTATTTTATTTTATTTTATTTTAATGTCTCTTTCTCCCAGAAAGGGATCCAAGGCGGTTCGCGAATAAAAAACGTTTTTAAAAGCTGTGGCCATAAAAACCAATTGGAAACCTCAAATAAAAACAGGATCCAAATTGCATCCATGAAAAACTACAGCACACAGCCAGATAACAAAGGGGCCCCCATAGGAAGACCATCGTCCCCTGGTTCTGGGTGAGAATCCTGCCTGGATCCAAGCCATCGAAAGAAACATGGCTTGAGAGAGAGGGGCAGATAGATCCCTCTGGCCATGATCTCCAGCCTTCGAGCCCTGGACGCCCGAAGGCCACCCTCTTTGCTTGGCTTCCCTCGGAGGCTGAGAGAGTGTGACCCCCTTGCCATGGCCGGACGGGGATTCGAACCCTGGCCCCCGGAATCGTCCTAGTCCAAGGCACAAACCACACCGCCACTTCGTCTTGCTGTGTTGTTGTTGTTGTTGTTGCCATGAATAGAGATGGAGTCGAGGGCAGATTTATAAGTACCTCTCCCTGTGTCAGACCATATGCCTCTGTCTGTCTATCTATCTATCTATCTATCTATCTATCTATC